AGGACCAGCCCGTTCATCTTCAGAGTTATCAACCTACCTCTGGTGGAGTGGACCAGGGGGCCCGCGAAGTGGTGGGAGTGGGTGTCCGGGTCCAGTTCTTCTGTAATCTCTGGAAGCCAAAGGCAGCACAGTCAGAGTTGGTGGAAGGAGAGGAGGAGGAGGAGGAGGAGAAGCCACAAGAGTTTCCACCCTGCATCTTAACCCTGACAAGTTAAAGAGGGCAACCACCCGTGGCCCCAAGGGACATCTGTGCAGGGGGAGTCATGGCATAGCAGCTGAACAAGGGCGTATCCCAGGACTCAGGCAAAGCTGCAGGTAAGGAAGGATCGGGGCCAGGTCCTTCGTGTCACCCCCCCTTGCTGGAAGTTCATTACTTTTTCAGCTCTCCTTCCTCGTCTTGGGCAAGGCGGGAAAAGTCTCCCGAGCTCCCCCCCCCTCGAGAAGCAGCCTCCCCGGGGAAGCCAGCCCTCGGCTCAGCTCCTTCCAAGCAGCTGGCTCCCCCCCCTCCCAGGATTTGAGGGCCCCTTTCCTGGTCACCCTCCACTTACCCCCATGTCCATTGCACTGCTCCAGGCAGTGTTCCTTGAAGAGATAGTTGTTCTTGTTCCCGTCACAGCCCCCGTAGATGAACATCTTACAGGTCCGGGTCTCAATGTCGAAGTACCAGCGAGGGAAGGAGGCCCGGCAGCGTCCCACCTTATAGGGCACGGCGCAGAACTCTGAAAGCGGAGGGCAAAACACCCATGAGTGGCACACCTTGCACCTAGAGGAGAAGCTGCTGGACCCCAGAGGGCAGGAATCCCCTCTCCTCCCTCCTCCACCCTCCACCCAGCTAGCCCTGGTGGAACAGGGCCAGACATCCACAGCCGCCCCGCCAGGAAGAAGATAGTTACCTTGGAAGCCCTCCCGGAAGTCTCCTGGCTCAGGATGGGGCCCAGATTTGGACTCAGCTGTGGGGAAGTGAGAATACAGAGCAGCTGAGCCGGAGGTCAAGCTAACTCAGCCTTGACCTGTCCTAACAGACAGGGATGCTTTGCCCTGCCTACAAAAGGCTGCACCCTGGAAGGAAAACCGTTGCAAGGAACGACATTGCCTGTCATTTCTGGGTTGTGTGTGTGTTCATAATAACAACATTTATTTGTGAAGCAGCACTAAGAACGGACAATGATGTGTGTTATCCGTTGCATTTTGAGAAGGGAACTGTATTTGGCTGTTTGGGACAATTTTCCATTTTTAAAGGCAAATTCTTTTAAATTATATATATTTTTACATTGTTGTGTGAGGCACCACTGTATATTTTAAAAAACCCAACCCTAAGATGTCCCTTTTAAAAACCACACATTCACTTTTTAAAAAGCAACCCTCCCCCCAAAAAAGCAAAAGCAAATTGTGCTGCTTCTATAGCGTCCCATAGTGCTTAAAGCACATGAATTGTTTAAAAGATTGTGGTTTAATTATGTAGGCGACACTTTGCCCACCCGCCTGCCCCCAGCAAGCCAGGTACTCAGTCTTCTAAGTTCTTCCAGCAAGGAGGGTCAAACCCAGCTCCTTGGATGGGAAGAGGCCACAACTTGTTTGAGTTCTTGGGATGGAAACTCTCCCAGGTGAACAGGGAGGTCCAGAACGTTCCCTGTGCCTCAAATTATAGCCAGGAAAGCTATGCGCTGCCCTTGGTGATGCTGAACATGACCACCAAGCAATGGGTTTGGGCAGGGCTGTCGGCCTCAGGATGGGTCTCCCAGGAGGCTTGCGAGCGAAGCTACTAGAAGGAGTACCTGAACCTCCCCCTTCACCCCAGAGCTTCTGGATGGAGGCCTTACCCCTTGCGGTGGTGGGTGTCACGGTTTCGTCTCCTGGCTGGTCAGGGGCCGCTGTTGCCTTCACATCTTCATCTGAAACCCAAGACAGTTTTGGTGTCAGGCTAACATTGCATGGATGACCTAAGAGCAGATGCACCTGGAGGCTTGGTCAAACCCAGAAGTGGGCCATTCCTGTGCATCTGCACAGGATCCAGATATGATGACATATTTTTTTTCCTTGTCTCTGGGCAACTTGGTTGAGCCAACGGCTGGGCAAGAGAGGCTTGGCCACACTCTCAAGCTCTCTTTAGCCTCATGAAGGGAAGGAGATGCTCAACCCAACCTTCATTCCTCAGTGCTTGCACTGAGAGGAGAGGTTCCATTTATATTGGGGAAACCTTCAATTAACTACTTGCGCTGTGGCTTAACCTGCCTGTTCTACCTGTCCGTGCACTGCACAGAGAATTGGTTAGCTAGACAATCCATATGTGTAAAAATTGGGAAGCCACATGGGGCCAGTAACTAGACAGGCAATCCAGAGCCACCAAAGTGCACACAGACAGATGCATGGAAAATATTGGGCAAAAACCAGTCTTCTTCGATATCAATGGACAAGAGAGAACAGAAACCCCTCGAAAGCAAACGTGTGTTTTCGAACCCGTGTTCACGACAACACCCAGTCTTCTTTGATATCAATGGAGAAGAGAGAACAGAAACCCCTCAAAAGCAACCACCTCCCATAAGTGACAGACGGCTGGGTGTGGAGAGCAGAGCAGCATGCAAGACAAGGAGATGCATACTCCGGGCTCAGTGTTCCTTTGGAGTAAGAGAGGAGGAGCAGGGAGTCCACTGCAGGCAGGGGACTTCAGCATTTGGGCAGAACCCCAGAAGGAGCTCCCCGACCACATCCCAGCTGCCTCCTCAAAAAGGAAACTGGCAGAAAGTAGCCAAGAGTTACCAGAAAACCATGGGCATGTCTGGGCACTGCATGGTGCACCTTGAGTGTATGGGCACAGAAAAGAGTTGAGAACAAAAGCCCCACCCCAAAAAAAGAAGAAATTGGTTTTCCAGAAGGCCAGTCTGTCTGCCCAGACCAATTCCCTCCAGCGGAAGAACAGCAAGCTCTCACCTGGGACGCATTCTTGGCGGCAGTCCTGTTCCGAGAGGAAGTTGTTGAGGTTGCCTCTACACCCCCCAAAGATGAACTTCTCGCAGGTTTGGCTGGTGGCGTTGTACCACCACCTCTGGAAGGCGGCTCGGCATCGGCTCACGACTTTGGGTAGCTGGCAGGTCTCTGAAAGCAAACAGAGTCCATCAAAGAGAAGCCAAGTCCAAGGTCGCTGGTCAAGGATAGAAGGTCCCCATGCAGGAGATGCCACTGCGTCCACCTGTAACCATCTGAGAGCATCGGATGGGAATGAGCCTCAATGGGCCACACGGCCAGCCTTCCTAGTCTCCCTTCCTGTGGAAGCTTTGCCATGGGGGTGGAAAGGGAGAAAACCACACTCCCCTACTGGCAATCCCTAAGGACCCATCATCTACTCCGGACGGTTGATGGCTGAGTTTCAGCAGCCAAGGCAGCCACATATCCATATATAAACAACCAGAACTCCCAGCTCCTTTTGTGCCACCTCCAGAATGGCTGGGGGGGGGGGCAAAAATAGCTGAAAAGGAATGCAATGATGTGTCTTTTGGAAGAACTGAAAAGCAAGACTCTTAATAAAGCTCCTGCTTCCAGAATCCCAACCCAACGAAGACAGATGTTCAATGCTACTGCCAAAAAAAATCGAGCAAACAAAATGGCCTAAAGTTGGGGGATCCCTCAAAATGCTTTCCAAGAATATTTGCCATCCCTCACAAAAGGAGGAAAGGAAGCAAGCAAGCAAGCACCTTATTTGTGGTTATGTGTAACCTGTATGTCCTCTTTACTCCCTCTTCACAAAGGAGTATGTCCTCATTAGCATCAGAAATGATGCCCTAACATGGCTATGCTCTCTGCCTGGCCAACTGGCCTGTTGAAGCTCTGCTCCAATGCAAAGAATAGTTTTTCTTGGCCACATGGGCACCCCAGGTCTAGCAAAGCACTTGCTCTTGCTTGGCTGGATCAAGACGTTTGCCTAACTAGTAAGTCAACGGAAGTTCCCCAACTGCAACCGCCAAGGCAGCTTTTGAGGATGACAAACCTCTTTATGGCTCACCATGGCCTGGCCTGGCGCCATTTCAGATCACATACCTCTCTAGGGTGAGGCCCATCTCGGCCTCAGGGTAGCCAGAGACTGCTCTGTTCAGAGAGCTTAAATTCCAGGAAGCTTCCTTGGGAAATATTTGGGACCACCCACAGGGCCTGAAAAAGCCTCTCCTCCCTGTCACTGCACCCTAGTTCTGCATCATCGAGGCCACATTTCTGCAAAGTGCTTTTTATTTTATTTATTTCTGGGGCATCTCCTTTCGGGTGATCACATGCATGGTATCAACCAGATGGCTTTAAAAGTTATCAGCCACATACCAAACTATTTGTTGGATGGTTTGGGCAACTCACATGCACCCCCCTTCATTAAAACAACTTCAAAATAAAATTAAATACTGAGCAGGGATTCCTAACTCACTATATACATCAATTCACAGTTCTCTCTACCACCTAATGGATGGCCTAGATTATGGGAACTAATCAGCTGCTGCCTGATTTTACAGGGCTTTCCCTGTTTTGACTCTCCATTGAGGCTCCTGCCACCAGTGTGGAGTTATCCCTTGAACCCAATATTCTTATTGATAATTATTTGGGACAACCATACTTGGTAACCCATCTCCTTTGCCTACATATGGTTTGGCTTCACAAAAGCTCACCTTGAAATGGAACCGTACGTCTTTCAGGTGCCAAAGCTTCCCTGTTTTCTATTTTTATACACTTGTTTGTATTTTTGTCTGGAGACGACTGCGCAGACTAACACGGCTGCTTCTTTGGAATCTTTGAAATCAAAGGCAAGGCCAAAGTTGCTGGAGAGGCTTCTGCTTTGTGGCTCATTAACAGACTGCCCCAGCTGGTTCTTCTAAGTTGTGCAACCAGGGACAATGCAGGAAGCCCGCCCCTTGTCTCCTTCTCCTTCCAATCCATTATATCCACCCCTTCTCGGCTCTTATGAGGCCAGATGGAGTTGAAATTTGCTAAGTGGTGAATTTCAGCCAGAGAAGCAATCAGGGGTGAGAGAAGCAAAAAAAGAGGGGAGGTTGACTATGAAACAGCTGGGAAGGGAAAGGGGACTGCTGTCTGGGGGCAAGGTGACCTTTTTAAACAAAAATCCAAGGAAGAGATCTTTAACATGTCTTACTTTTACTGTAACTGTTGGTTCTTAACTTTTTTCCATTGCAGTGTAAGCCGTGTTAATGGGTGGCCTATAAATGGCCCCAATTAAATTCTGTGTTTGTAGCTCAGAACAAAGAGAGCTAACTAAACCCTGGGTCACAATTTTTTCCAAAGAGGTTGCTGTGTCTATTTGCTGCTGCAAAACCAATATAGGTTCCTGCAGGCTAAGTTAAAAGGGGAAGAGAAAGGAGGCAAATGAGAACAGCAGCAGCAAAAGCCAAATCCAGTATCCGCTTAAAGACTAGCAGATTTATTCCAAAATCCACCATGATCTTGATTCAGGAAAACCCAGCCTTATTAAATAAATCAGCAAATCTTGGGAATCCCCCCCCCCCCCCGGTCTTTTGTATTTTCTCTATGTCCTTTTCTCCTTCAATTCTGCAAGGCAGACTAACATATCAGAAAAAGGGGGTTGTGGCCCTCTTAAAGGGCAACAAGCTAAGCAACAAGCTAAGCAACAAGCTAAAACATTTTTGTGGCTTGAAAGCTCAGCAGGAAACTTTCCCTCAGCATCTCAAAGACATGAATGTTTTGTTTTGGCATGACTGTGTGTGAAAACACACTGCTTTTGTTCAGCCAGCTGCTGAACAAAGGGCTTTATTGAAGGGTTACAAAATCCTCCCCACCTTCCTTGTTTCAAGCATGCCAGTTTCAAGCAGGCCAGAGCCCCTCCCCTCAAAAGGGAAAAAGATCCCCATAAGAAAAGTAATGGAGAAAGTTGTGTCTTCACTGGGGAGGGAAATGAATTCATGCAAAACATATTTACCCCGCCTTTCTCCTTTAAAAGGACCCAAGGTGGCATACAAGGAAAAGACCATATTTGAAATTGAAAACAGTGAGTACACAATGGCGGTTAACATCATTAAAAGACAATATGTCAAGCTACAAACAATGAGTAAAGAACCATCTTACATCGATAACAGCAATAGTAAGCAAAGATCAATAAGTATGCAAAACATTTTTTTTAAGTGCCACTTTTGGCACACTGTGGAGATGCCCCAAAGTTTTGCATTTATTGCCTTTTCATTTTTCTACAAAAATGCAAGGCAAATTTTTTATCCTTCTGGAAACAACCCATAATGGCTCCAAGTCTAAACCAATTAGCAGTGGCATATCTACTATGAAACAAATGCAGTGTAAGTTCCCAAAAACATAGGTCTGGCACGTATAGTTAAAAATCTCCTTCACAAACGGAAGGTGGCAACTAAACCACCACAACTGCTTGCCCACAACAGGTTTTGTGCTGTTCTTCATGATCCCAAAGCCCTTCAAAACCCTTCACATGGGCAGAGGCATTTCGGAGCCGATCCACGGGTCTGAGACTGGCTAACATTAGCAGAACCTGCTCCTGCAGCGAATCTGCCCTTTGAAACAATCTGGCTCTGGATGGTCTCCTTCCGAAGGTTCTCGTGGGCAATGAAGGGCGAGGAAGGGCTGCCCGTGTGTGTGTGTATGAAAACACGCCGCCTGAGGGGCAAGCTCTACACGTAGGCAAGGAAAGGCTGGAGGGCCTTGGCTGCTACCTCCCCCACCCTGGTCTGTGCCAAAGGCCCGGATCCTCTGACTCAGCCCTGGGTAACCATGGTGACCTCACCGCAAACAGGTCGGACCAGTCTGAGGCCGGTCACCCAACCCTGGGCGCACCCAGTTCAGTCAGGTTTCACGCTCCATCTAAACGGGGCCAGTTCAACAGGAGGACAGTGAGTGAGCGTATGTGTGTGCATGTGTGTGTGTTTGTCACAAAGACCAACTCAGAAACATGCTCTCTCGGGCCCACCCGTGGGCTCTAGGGGACCAAGCCCCCCCAACAGGCCCCCATTATCCACTGGGATGACCCTGCTTTTCCGAATCCAGAAGCACAACCAGGCCTT